TTGTGGCTTATGAAACGTCTTGATGTGTTAAACCTTTTCCATCAGTGGATGAGTTGAGTACAAGGGGACCTAACCTTAAAATCAGAGCCAGACCATTCAGGAAAGATGTCAGGAAAGATGTAAGGAAACACTTTGTCCCAATAATCCATCCATTCTCCACCCCTCCCACTACGATCCATGCCCAACCGAAGTGTAGAAGATGCTCGTCCAAATAATCTTTTTAAACTTGAAATCAATAGCTTTTGATAGACAAGAGCTTTAAGGGATATAGTAGAAGGAAGGACACTGATAAGCCATAATCTCAGTGAATGGCATCACAGGCTAGTGACATTTAATAATATGCTCATACCCCCATGATGCTAATGTTTACCACATTGCCATGAAGAAATAGAGAATAACGTTGAGGCACTTCACCAAGTGCCAAAATGTAATTGTTTTGGACAATTCTTCAGATCCTCCTAGTGAGCAATTTCAGAAGAATATTGATACAAGATTGAAAGTAGGGTTAGTGTCAAGAGTCGTAATTTGAAGGGTGCAAACCCTTCCCTCTCCCAAAACTCCTGCAAAAGATCAAGCTACAAATAAATGAAATGCCTGATTTATGACAGGCTGTCAGTAATCAAGCTTCTTTCTGCAAAACATAGGTACAGAGCAGTTGGAATGAAGCTCCGTCAGTTCTCAGTAGGTGGATAGATTTTGATGACAATATTGCAAAGCTGCCATATTGCAAAGCTGCCAAATTGCAATTGCTGTGAGATTGTGTAACTTCAACCTCCTCATTACCCCCACAGTGTTGCGCTGTTGGTGGTGTTGGCTTCCACTGCTGTTGTATAAATGCTTTGGCAAAACTTTCTAAGCAGTGAAGTGTATGAATTTCATGGTATTTAAAATATAAACAGAAAACATCAAGATGTAAATTCTGCCTTGTTCATGGATATGAAGAAGAAAAACTCTAGAATCAGATGGAAACTCTGGATATTGCTAAGAGAGAAAGTTCAATTACAACGTGGCCATTTTCTTTCTGGAGCAAGCTGCATTGTGACACCACCTATTGGCAGCCCTACCTCAATCATCAAAGCAAATTAGCTCCAAGTGCAAAACTGTGTAGTTACTGACAGAAGGATAAAGAAGTGCAACAGAAGGACCCTGTTTTTGAAATGTTTCCAGGTTTGGAATGCTTTTCATGAAAGGGATGTTCTGCACAAGCTGTTAGAGGTTTCTCTTTTTTTAAGAAAGGATGTATTTGTAGCATGCTGTCTGCTAACTCATGAGTTCTTACTGTATTGTTTGAAATCACAAGGGAGAAAAAATGGTATCAATTCTTAGAAAGTTTCTACACAAACCCAGCAAAGTTAAAGCATTAAGTGTTTACAGTTCAAAACTATAGACAGATCTATTTGGTTTAATCCTGCAGGAGACTATGTAAAGATGGATTCAATTTTTAAAAAAAGTTTTGAGGTATTCAAAGATGCAATCTGCACACACCCAAATAAATGCTCTTGAAAGTCATGTACACAGCGTATCTTACATCAGCAATTGCAGCGCCTTTATTTCATCACCATAGAGTGACATAACAAGATGTAGCTGGAGGGAACTGTAAGTGCTGTAACAAGTACAGATGTCTCAAGATTAGTGCTAGAAGTTGTTGGGAGCAGAGTAAGACTGAAGTTATTTTGGATATTGACAGACAAATCACAAGTCTCCCATAGCCTAACGGCTATTCGAAGAAACCTACTTTAACAAGTGAGAGTTAACTCAAAGCAATCTGATATATATGAACAGACAGAAATAAGAACTATCCTTTAACCAAAATGCCTGATACTCCAGCAACAGCTTGTAATCTAACAAAAGTAAAATATGCAATTTTCTGTTTACAAGTTGAATCAAAGAACTAGACAGTTTCTCACTTCAATTTTTAAAAATGCCTGCACTTTAGTTTTTAAAAGATTGGTATTTCACTTTTAAACACTTGATGGAACATTGTGCCTGAGGCAATTTTTAAAAAAGTGGCATTTCTGATTTCCAGATTGATCTGTATTAAACAGGCTTAGCTGCAGACGCAGTTGGGGTAGTCTAGTTGCCCCATTCCTAGAAAGGGAAGAGAAAGAGCATACATTCGATCACAATGAACCCTTCTAGAAGTGCACATATATATACATCAAGTGAAGATTTGATTGGCTGTATTATACTTGGACCTGCAGATGTTCAGCTCAAAGTTCAGGCTTAATCATGTCAAATGGTGGCTGGGCACAGTTGTGCATGGCAACTGTCAGCTAAATTGTCACAAGAGCAGCATCAGGAAAGGACAGACAAAAGGCATGAGGTGTTGAGGATTGAAAACCAATATTAATTCTTCAGAGCATTTGAAAGTTTTGCAAAAATATCCTTCAGGAATTGTGAATTAGAGACCTTCATTCCTACAATAATGTAACAAAGGCAGAGTGCATAATAAAGGGGCAACTGTTTTATTCTTCAGAAATACTTCTATGAAAGCTAATCATTGTGGTGCCTTTTCAGCACAACAGCAATGCAACTCCATCTGAACTTAACTGATGTGTCTTTGCTGTAGGAAATAAGTTACTGCAGTCTTTTAACTTGGTTATAAACTGCTGTGAGGGAAATTATTTCTCTGCACAGCTTCAGTCTGGGTGGATCAGTCAGGGAAGAAAGCGCACAAAAGTGTCTCCAAATGCAAATAAAAACAAAAAGTGCTGGAGAAACTCAGCAGGTCTGGCAGCATCTGTGAAGAGAGGAACAGAGTGGATGTTTTGAGTCAGATATGACTCTTCAGAACCAAAGATGACTCGTATTGGATTTGAAAAGTTAACTCTATTTCATTCTCACAGATACTGCCAGACCTACTGAGTTTCTCCAGCACTTTGTTTTTATTTCAGATTTCCAAAAACAACAGTATTTTGTTTTTATGTTGCAAAGCACAGGCCAATTCAACCCTTACAAGATACTGCCAACTTGGAAATGTGGAAATAAGAGGGAAAATCAATGATGAAATAATTTCTAAAATATTAGCTAATTGCAGTTCTTACCCATGGAAGTAAATATGAGCTAACGGTTCAAATGTCCAACATATTTCTCTGCCATCATCTTTGGTTTTGATCTCTAATAGCTTCACTGGGCAAAAAATCTAAAATATATTTAATTTGATTTTTTTTCTTTCAAGGGTAATGTAAAAATTAAGAATAATTCTATGTTATTTAACAAAAGTGGAGGTGTTCATGACTGCCAATGGAATTTAAGCTTAAATGCAAATGATAAAAGATGCCAAATGGGAATAAAGTATTTATTTCTGCTGTAATCCCTATTGTGTCTTTAAGTCAGTTTCAAGGAACTTGATAACATCTACTCAGTCCGCCTGCAACAAACCTCAAAGGTGCTATTAAGACTCTCAGACATTAGTTGTTTTGTACTGAATACTGTGCGATATATAGACTGTTTAGGTTTGGATAATTAGGGTTGCAACTCATTCCTCATATGTACAGGCTGCAGTTTCCCGCTGTTCTTAATTTAGGCATGGTCTTCTAGCTACCTTGTGTCTGCGCATCTTCCAATTTTGCTGCCTTTGTGAAAATGATCAGTACTGAATGAACAGGACTGTAGTAGCTGTTTATTTACGTTTTGAATATACACACACGATGTACTACACTAGCAGTTCTTGAGTAACTAAACAATGAGCACTTACAAAACCAATATTTTTCAGTCTTACTTCTGCATACACTGGCAGATTTGAAGCATCACGCATGTGCTTGGACTTTGGGGGTCACTTAATCAGATGAAGGATGGAGACTCAACCACCTTCCCCTCTCTTCCTCATTAAGTCTGTGTGGGAAGACTCACGTATTGTCTTTCTACACAGGTACTAATTGAGACCCTTACATGGGCAATTTGACAGGTTTTGAGAAGTATAATAAGGTATAATGGGACAGCAATCAGCTAACCCTGGGAGAGACTTTTTGCTGCAAGTCTGTTAGACTGATGATACCAGTAAATTTCTAAAGTGTATGTCGCATAGTTCTAACTGATCTGGATATTGTATTCAAATGAACCCTGATGGGATTGGCCAGTGATCATGTGTTTAGTGCATTGTCACTGCATGAACGGTGCATGCAGCGTGTCAATTGGATGGATGCCAAAGCAGTCTGATTAGTGATTGGGGGTCTGTGATCAATTTTATCAGTTTCAATAAGATGGAGTATAAATCCTTTGTAATCAGATCAGGAAGATCCAACCAGGCAACAGAGAGGAAAATCTAGACCTTTAACTGTGACATTCCAAACTTTGTAAAATGATGATTTGCATTGAGCCAATCTCCTGATGGTGATCTAATTAAAGGCAATCTTTGTGAAAAGCCCTGTTCAGCATGATTGAATTCCACCAATTGCTGTGACAGTCTTGGCAGTTTTCAAGATCGCTCCAGGTCTGATATATAACATTCATATCATAAGACTTTCAGAAGATTAGAATGTGATTGTTGTGCTTAACTTTCCTTAAACGACCCTTTGTGATTGGGAATAATTTTATTTGTAGCTCACTGGCAGCGTTTATTTGCCACTGCGCTGAACTCGTAGTAGAATCTAATGAATCAATTGCTACCTAGATTATGATTTTCCAACTGCTGTTAATTGGATACTAATGTAATCTTCCTTCACTGTTTGAACGTCTAGCCTTATTTAATCAAAACGGAATCTTTGCCAAGTCTAAACATGCCTTGACAAAGTCCCTCAAGTAATGAAATACTTATTAAGCTTCAGTTTTATTGTTTATTATTCAAGTTAGTCGATTTAATGGATTGACACACCAGTTTATCCATGATAATACGATACTTTAACCAGTTCAAATTGCATTTACAATAATGACCATGCTCAACAATTAAAATAAGGTCAATCCACAATGAAGGAGATTGATTGAGCTGTTGTGGATATATCTACCATTAATCTTGATGAAATAGTTGCTTTAGTGGGCCTCGTCTATCACTGTATGACTCCTACAAACATCGGAGAAAGGCAATCACTAAACATGGATCAGAAAGTACGGAGGGAACTGTGTGTCTCGTGCATGAAAACTCGTCTGCAGGCAAAGCAGGTAATAAGGAGACCAAACAGAATTTTGGCATTTATTATTAAAAGAATTGAGTAAAAGTAGGGAAGAGTTGTTGCAGTTGTGCAAGTTATTAGTGAGATCGCACCTGGAGTAACGTGTATAGTTTTGGTTCCCTTACTTGAGGAAGCATGTAATTACATTGGAGACAGTTCACAGAAGGTTCTCCAGATTAATTCCAGAGATGAAAAATTTGTTTTATGAGGAGAGTTTGAGCAGTTTAAGCCTTTTTGCACTAGATTTTAGAAGGATGACACGAGATCTAATTGAAGTATATAAGATGCTAAACGAGATTGACAAAGTAGACATAGCGCGAATGTTCCCCTTGTGGGACAATCTGGAAAGAGAAGTCATAGTTTTAAGCTATGGGGTGGTAGATTTATAACAGATGAGGAGGAATTACTTCTCAAACAGTTGTGAATCTGTGGAATTCACTACCCCGGAGTGTGGTGGATGTTGAGACACTGAATAAATTTGAGGAGGAGGTAGATGGATTTTTAATTAGCAATGAGTTAAAGGCTATGGGGAGCAGGTAGGAAAGTGGATTTGAGGCGAAAATGAGATCAGCAATAATTGTATTATATAACAGAACATGTCTGAGAGGCTAAATTGCCTAGTCTTGTTCCTCATTCTTATGTTTTTCTAACATTGCAGACTTAGCTATACAAATAACCAGCAGTTTTTTAGCCGATCAAGGTCTGATCTACTATTTTATGTCTAAGTGTTGTTTGATAAGCTGCCATATACCAGACCAAATGCAAAATAGGAGTTTAAAGAGGCAGTGACAGAATGCACATGAAATTGGCTAACAGGCAGAGTGCAGAGCATTATGGTAAACAGTTGCATTTTTGTCTCAAGGGTAGCATACAATCATGTCTCCCAAGTTTGCTGTTAGGACCACTGCTCTGTTTGCCAACTGGAGTTTTCTCCCTTCCCAACCCCTTTATTGTTAATTTTACCTCCTGACTTAAGATCAAGATAAATGTCAATGTAAGTGCAAGATGTTTGCTCAAATTCCCAATAATTGTGTGTTCATTTTGTATTTCAATACCACTTGTAATATTTTTAAATACTTGTAATTTAGTGTGGGAGTTCAGGACGACATTTTCAGGAGCAGCATGAAAATATCTATTTAACTGAAATAATTTTATGTAGAGGATTTAAGTTTTCTTAAATGGGGTCAATAATGGGGTTTTAAATTTATGTGATGAATGTCACTAGTGAGGGCAGGATTTATTGCCATCTCTAGTTGTCCTTCAGAAGGTGAATGTAGTCCCACAATGCAGTCGGATAGATAGTTTCAGCATTTTGAGCCAGAGATGAAGAAAGAAGTGATAAAGATCATGCACAGAATAGTGGATGAGATGGAGAAGAACCTGGAGGTGGTGATGCTCTTGTCCACCTGCTGCCTTGTTCTCTGAGTGATCATGCGTTTAGGAGAAACTTTGGAAGAAGAAGCCTTGGCAAAGTTGTGGTTCATCTTGTAGATGGCACACTCCGACCGTAGTGCACCAGTGGTGGAAGGAGTGATTGCTTGAAGTGTTGGTGGGAAGCCAGTCAAGCAGGTTGCATTACTCCTGGGTGGTGGGGTTTCTTAACTGCAATGTTCTCCTGGGACCATGCATTATACTGCAGGTTCTATGTATTTATGCATTGTTGCTATTGAGCCATTGTTTCTAGCCTTCACTTATGTATATGTAATTGAAATGGAATTTTTCAACGTGGCATGACTTGTGTCTTTTTACTAGCTAACATTGCTAAATGGCAGGAAAGTTTAAACGAAAACTGTGTCAATCTCAGAAAATTCTAAATTTCTCCTTAACACTTTCAGAGCATTTAAATTAGCACTGTATATTGGGCACAATCTTGATGACTGCAATTCCCCACATTCCTGATATTCAGTTTAAAAAAATGCTCTCCAATTGGTCTCATTGAATTCTAATTTTTTAAGAGTAGATGTGTAGGAATTGACCTTCATTTTGATTTTTGTTATTTATTCATTTGAAGCTATTTCACCCTTAATCTACACCCCCCCACCCCCAACCACCCCCCACCCCCCGCTACGTTATCCCACTATTAATCTGCATTTGTTGTTTACCACAGGCTTTTCTTGCCAGGACTGTAATATATACTTTAAAAAATTAATGCAAACCCAGCCTCACCAGTTTGCACATCATTTAGCCCATTGTCTGAGTAGGATAAATTAATGTTTAGGTTTCTGTAGAATTTACTTAATTCTCAGTATGATAATCACTCACTAAATGTACACATGTGATATGAGTTGGAAAATATTGTTGCACACAATAGCTGAATTCTAGAGGTTTCTCCAATCATTAAAGCCTATTAAAGACCATATGACATTGAATAGCCCACAGTCAGTTACACTGGGGAAGCTGCACATGAGATTGAGAAAAATGCAATCTAAGCCTTCAAATGTAGAGTCCCAATATTTCAAGTTGCCGTATGTTACGATAATGTATCTCTATGTTTCATTCTTCATGTGAACTGATTCCCTTCCTTCTGTTAATTAAAAGCAACAAATGTTAAAATCTATCTGCAGTCCGTGAAGGTGAAAAAGTGTTTAGACTGTGCTACGTGGTCCGTGAATTACACAGACCTGCTGAGTGTCATGTATGGTCCAGCAGTAAAAGCAAACCTACAGGATGCTTCAGAGAACTGTAATCCTGCAAATTCCAAAGAGTGGTTAAAAATTAGTACTCTCATTGAAGGATCTCATTGATCATTTACAAATGGTGTATTATACTGTGTGATATACTATTTGGGCACTACTAATGTTATTTTGTTTCAAAGAAGATTGTATAAAATGACTGTTCTGGTTAAGAACCACATGGTGATCAATATCTCATTGTTGTTTCCTTCCCTAAATCCAATTTTGTAAGACACCAAAACTTCGTGAAAGTGCAAAGGATTTCCTGCATTCTAGTAATCTTTCATTTTGCCATTTTTAATTTGTACCTTTCTTCTCTTAAGTTTCTCCCAATTGTGGATTTTACCCCAGGCGACCACGTGAGAACTTTGAGATCACACTCATGTATTTCTACTCAGTTTTTCTTAAATTAAAGTGATTTCTTCACCTCAGCTCCTAGGTATGGAAATGCATCATGTTTTTGAGTCTGGCAATCCATGTTTTGCCCACAGTGCAGAATGTGACAGTGCAGCATTGTGGTGATCTGTTTGTAACTACAGAGAATAAGTGACTATATTCAAAATAAAATTATTTGTTATTGAAGTTTTGCTTTAATAAATGAGACCCACAAACAGAAATATTACAGTACAGATAGACTTTTGTTCATGTGAATGTAACCTGTTAATCTCATCAAATGTGGTTGTCTGTATTTCAATTGATTCTTTTTGGTCCATGCACTGTAAAATAAATATTCCTGATATTTATGGATAGATAGAGAGGCTGAGGCTAAACCTAGCAAGTGCAAAGATCCTTTTGACATTAATGGCGGGGCCTCATTTGCAACTCCACCTCCCACTCAGCAGCTGACCAAGTGCTGGGAGGAAGAGAGCAGAATGGCAAAGGGTTACTGAGACCATCTTCATCAGCAGGAAGTTGGAGAAAAATTGACAATCAGGGATGGAGGATGGAGGAATCTCCAGTTGAGAATCAGGTGGTGGGCTGGGGGCAATCTAATCTGGATGGCTGGGTGGAGAGAAAGCTGAAGGGAGGGCTGGGGAGACTGAAAACTTCCATGACGGCCTGAGGTAGTGCAGCTATTTTTCCTAACCCACAATGAGTACTGGAACTGCCACTTTGGAGAATATGTAGCCCATCCAGGGAAATTGGTACAGCATATGCTAGTTTCAAATCAGGCTGTGATCTTGATGTAAATATATTTATACATGTCTCATCACTATGGTGGGACATATGGATACCCTGGAACCGTGCATGTATGCACACTACAGAATTCACTTTTTAACTACCATCACCAATTTCTTCCCTTGCCAGTCTGTCATGCAAGTGATAATACCAGGCCATGAAACGAGACTTTTACTCTGCTGGCATAATAACAATTCAACAGTTTTGAAAATGCATGTACCTTTTGGTTCATTTACACTCAGCAGTTATTTTTGTATAAAAATGACTACAAAGGTAAGCCTTTGACTACAAAGGAGGAACCTCATCAGTCAAGGGGTGGTGAATCTTTGGAATTATATATCTAAGAGAGCTGTGGAAGTTTAGTCATTAAGCAAATTCAAGACATAAATTGATAAATCTCTAGTTAATAATGACATCAAGCTATGTAGGGATAGCACAGGAATATGGCATTGAGGTAGACAATCAGCTCTGATGTAGAATGGTGGAGCAGGCTTGAGGAGTTGAATGGCTTATTCCTGTTCGTACACAAAATAGTAGTGGAAAATTATAAAAGCTCAGAATGTATTTTTACGACCTGAAGCAATTGAGTGAAAATTCTCAGTCTTCTCGAAAGTAATTTGCCAAAAAGTGGAGCATCAAGAGGAAGATACTTGAAATAATGACCAAGTCATTTCAAGCAGTCGAAGAAGATTTAATAGTAAGAATAACATGGTTTAGAACATACAGTGCCTGAGAACATGAGGAGTGAAATCCTATCTCATGTGGTAAGGCAAATTCATTTACAGCAAATTGACAGGTTGTTTTACCCCTGTCAAATTTTGATTTCCATTTACTTAGCTATTTTACACTAGCATTTGAACTAATTTCAGCCTTGAGGTTTTATATTCCACACAAATTTGTTAGTTGCAAATCTCTGTTCTCAATCATTTATTTGTAAAAAGTAGGTACTGAGGAATTTCAATTCTGTAAAAATATTTATTTGTTGAACTATTTCTCTTTCAATAGAAACTTTGGTTCTGATTTTTACACATATTTGAATTATGATGGCTCATCTATCATGGGCCAGTAAGAGATGAGACAGAGATGGAAATACTCATGTTGCTAAACCTATTTTTGAGCTATCCTTCTCAGTTTACAT